AGTTCTCTTCTCTGAATTCATGACTGCCTTTTTTTAAAACTTCTATTGGTATGTGTTTGCAGTATGTAATAATCATGTTGGTTCTCGGGAGTTGATACACGTTTGTGACACATCTCTGTTCTTTATTTTCCACCATCCTTGTATTTTGCCAGAATCCAATTCATGTATTTCTCTTATAAACCCTTGTCATGTATACAGATTAAAAATAAGACTATTAAAAAGAAATAAAAATCTGGATTTCTGACAATGTTAAAGAAAATTAGGGTATATTCTAGCTTCTATGCACTATAACAAAGCCTCTAGCTAATATGCCTAAAACTAATTACCACAGTAAAATCTGGCAGCAGTTCATTTGCCTGTTTTATGTGCTTCAGTACTCAATTTGGTGTTAAAATCATAAACCAAATTCAGTCAGACCCAGGTCCTCAAGATAAACATAAAAATTCCCCAGAAGAATCCAGCAACATACACATATGCAGGGAAGACCTTTGAAGCCTAAATCCCTTATTTTCATAGGACAGAAACAAACCTTTAAAGGAAAACCCCAAGGGTTTATTTCAGAGCTTTGGGGACATAAATGCTAGTATGTGACTAAATATAGTATTTATTGGAGGAAATAAAAAGTGAGAGATTTCTATCCTTACTACCTTCCATATTTGATTAATGTGTGATCTTCATATGCTTAGGCCCATACTCGTGCGTGTGTGTGGCCACATGCAGGGGGTGGGACTCGGTAACGAAGACCTAGTAATTTAAATGACTAATCATGATTTTCTATTTCAGAACTGTTTTTTCTGCTTAAGATCATGCAGGAAACAAGTAGAACTCATTAAAATACACAGCGCTTTACATTCACACACTTTCACATTCCTCTCTCGTTTCACGATTTCATGTGTTTCATGAATAAAGACATTCAGTGCTTAGTACTTCTTCAAGATGGCCTATTAATCATGGAAAATGTATTAGATAACATGGGTGCTGGTTTTCAAGAAATTTATTTTCAAATGATATTGGTAATGAATGGTATGACATCATAGAAATTCTCCAAATATTAAGTACATATGCAAATCTTAGGGATGAAAAAGATGCCATATTTTAAAATCATAATAATGATCTTGATAACAACAACAATAAAACAATGAATAATTCAAGTTCCACATACACTTAAATAGAGAAATAGAGCTTGTGATTTTTAAGTGTAAAAATAAAAATAAAGTTGGAAAAATAATTTTTAAGTTCTGTAATGTAACTTCCAATATATTTCTACTTTTCTCACATTAATAATTCTTATGTAACATTCTGATAACACATTTTGATAGCACTATTCTGATATTAATTCCATTATTTTCTATTTTATAAGTGAGTTATTACAATATTTATTGCAATAATCACTGTTCTGAGTATATTGTAACAAATATATTAAAATAATTAAATAAAATTATGTCAAATGTTACTACGTTTCCTATTCTTTGCTTTTTATCTTGCAGGAAAAATAAAACATACATACAGAGAGAAAAATATAAGCACATCTTCCCATTTCATTGAGATTAAAATCATACTTCACAAAATTTATCATATGACGTTTTAAAAATGTACACTTAAGTCACATTTAATTGTTTCTGCACTGTATATATAATGCTGTTAAAATATTGCCAATATACAATTACAAAGACCCAATCCAAAAATGGACACTGGATATGAATACACACTTTCCAGATAAAGAAGTACAAATGGAAAATAAGTATTTGAAAAAAATTTCAACATACCTGATCATTCTATAAATGAATGCAAATTAAAACAACACTGTGAATTTATCTCACTCCAAAAAAAAATGGCTATCATCAAGAAATCAACCAATAGCAAATACTAGAGGGGCTGTGGGAAAAAGGAACCCTTCTTTTTCCACAGTTAGGAGTATACACTATTACAACCATTGTGGAAATCAGTGTGAATGTGCTTCAAAAACCTAAGATTAAAGATCCTACTTAACCCAGCTATTCGCCTTCTGTGTGTTTTCCCAGATAAATTAAAAACATCATGCCACAGTGACACATGTACACCTATGTTCATAGCAGCAAAATTTGTAATAGATAAATCTTGGAAACAACTCAAATGTCCATCAAATGAGGAATAGATTAAAAAAAAGATGTGGTATTTTCATGCCCTGGCATACTCTCAGCCATAAAGAAAGATAAACTTGAGGCTCTTGTCGGTAAATGAATGCAACTCAAGACTATACTCATAAGTTAAATAAATCAGCTTCACGTGGGCAAACATCATATTGTCTCCCTAGTGTGAGGAACTAAAAGAGAAATAAGATCTAAGATGTACAATAGATAGTGTGAAAGGGAAAGAAACTGCTCAAAAGGAAGGAACAACTGGGATGGTAGAAAGGAGAAAAGAAAGAAAGGAAAAGAAAAAAATTATATATACACACACATAAGATAGCTAAGATAATTATGCTACTTATTTCAATTAGTTCATTGAAAAGAATAGTTTGTGCTTATACTCTTTGATCAATTTTGCATACCTATATCTTGTAATCTGAGCAACTACTTTGAAGATAACAAAATGCAATGCATTTTAACCACTGTAAATTTCCTATTATCCTGTTTGGAAATTCTTTATTGTTTTTATTGTTTTCACCTCTTTAAAATAAAAAATAATTGAAAGCTCCCTTGAAAAAAACTCCAAATTCTCTATTTGTTGCCCTGAGCATTTACTCTGGAAAATTTTTTTTTTTTTTTTTTTTTTTTTTTGCTTTCCGCTTGCATACACTTACCCATTTTGGGTATTTTTAAAAATGGATTTTTATAGTGGATAATGCTTTGTGTATAGTTTTCGTCGTTAAGAAAATGGGGTGGGGGTAGAGAGAACAAAGCCATACTAGCAAGCAAGCCCAGTCTGGAAACCAATGCCATGTGTGCGCCACTGCTGGACTGGAACAGATTCCAGCCCCTGCTGGCAAGTGAGCTGCCAAATGAAAAGTGCCCGAGCGGTAACTGACAGGCTTATCTGGAGAAACACAGGCTGTTGATGATTGCTATGGAGGTGAAATGCAATTGGATACTTGTGGTGTTTTGGTGTTTCACTAACACTGCAGCTCTACAGCCAGTGGTCTGATCATAGATGCAAGAGTATAGTAGTAAGCAGTGTGACATCTAGGGGAATCTCCTTCTGAGGTTTGCAGCCATTGCTGATTCCATGGTCTTGTTTTGGAAGTCCTATATCATTTCCATTGTTTTATTGGTTGATTTTATTTTCTTCTGTTTTATTTATGTCAAATCCGATAGCAGGAGCACTGATTTCAAAGACACATTATGGTAGCAATTTTGTAATTACTATAGGCTTATTTAGAAGTCCTTTATAGCAATTATTGTTTTGTTTTTATTGTTTCTATTCTATTCTGTTGTGTTTGATTTTACTGTGTCCAAAGTTATCTGCAATTATTTTGAAGACATCAAAAGACATTATGGTAACTATTGTTGATTTCATAATGCTTTGAAGTCCTGTATCTTTTACACTGTTTTGATTGATTTTATTCTGTTTTATCCTCTTTAAAATTAAAAAAAGGAAATGTTTTAAACATATAAGTGTGTTGTACTATGTGCCAGTACTTCATGTAACTTGTTTCTTTGGGTTTTTTTTTTAATGTTTCGTTCATCTACTATACAATCTTCATTTCACATTTGCCAAATTTAGCACTTCTCCAACTGTTGAAATGTTATAATATTAAAATGTATTATAAATATCAAAAATATATAAAAATTTATTGAGGTTTACAATATGATTTTCTGAGATACACATCAATAGAAGAATAATTACTCTAGTAAAACCTACATCCAAACTCACAATAAATCTTTCCATTCAGTAATAATCCTTTATACAGATATACTTCATATTTATCCAATCAGCAGCTTAACGATATACATCTTGTTTTTATTTTTTACTTTTCCTTCTACTGTAACTTATTACATACAAGATTTTCTCTACATGCAGAATTTATGAATGCTTACTTCAGCAAGCATTTAGTTTAAATGTCTCACATTAACGAATAATAGAGCTTTAATTTTTACAGAGTTAACAGATTCAGGGAAATTAAATGCATAAATGACACTAATTATAGCATTATATTTTACTTCAAAATTGTGTGCACTTAGAGGATAAGCTTAACCATACATATAAGTCTCTGATCAAGCAATTATTTCACTTATTTATGGTATATACTTAGGAATTAAATGCTCTTATGCCAATTGTGTTTAATTTAATGAGTTACTACCAATATTTCTCATAAATGCTGTATTATTTTACATTCCAAAAGAAATTTATCATAATTTCAATATATATATATATACCATCAACAGTTGCCTTTTTTCTGTTTTTTACTGATAGCATTTTAGCAACTTATATTTTCTTGGAGTTGATTGGAATTTGGCTAATAACTAATATTTTTAGTGATTTCTTTATTATTTGCCGACCTTTTTAGACATGTAAATATTCAAGTACTGTTTTCAAGACACCCCTTATAACAAGGTAATAGGAAAACTGCAGAAATAGCTCCTTTCAATAATCATATTAGATAGAAGATAGATAAAGCCTCCAATTTGAAAGTACACATTGATGAATGTAGTTTCTGTATCCATGTCTATTGAATATTGTTTAGAAGTATGGACTATGGATACCAGGTAACCTGTTCATATAATATATTCATATAATATATTAATGCATATAATATATTCAGTATATCTTTTCCTTGGAACCTGCTCTGGTTTTGCTTTTCATTTTTGTTGGTTTTTTTTCTTTTCTTTTTATTCTTTTGAGACAGGGGCTCATTATACTACATAAGCAGACCTTGAACTCATTATCTCGTCCAGGGTGGCCTTGAACTTGTAGTGATCTTTTTGCCTCTGCTTCCTGAGGGCTGGAATTGCAAACATATGCCACCATGCCCAGCTTGTGATAGTCTTTTTGATGAACAATTATGCTTTAAATGGAGAGATTTCAAATATTAAGCATACCTGTTAGTTCTAAAGCTTCAATTGTTGGAAATGATTCCTGATGGAACCTGAAAACATGTGACAGTACACCTATTATTTTACTTGCAGCAATTGCAGTGATTGTGGAATGTAATGAAAATACTTATTTTAGAAGTAAACATTTGTCGTGTTTTCTGATTATCTTCTGCCCTTAGTGTCCAGGTTAAACACCTTGTATAAGGCCTGCCTGAGCTCCTTGTTCTTGAGAGCATACACCATGGGATTGAGAGCAGGGGGAATGACGTTATGCAGCACATTGAGGAGAACGGGGATGAGGGGAACTCTCATGCCTGCACTGTGAGTGATGGAGATGACAATGACAACTGTGTAGAAAAAAAGTATTAAAATAAGATGGGATGTGCAGGTGTTTAACGCCTTGGATGCAGCTTCTACTGAGCTGAGCTTCAAGACAGACTGAAGGATCAAAGCATAAGATAAAGCAGTCAAACCAAGGTCACTTCCCATGACTGTCCAAGCCAGAACTATTTGGTTGATACTGTTGACTTTCCTGTCATCACAAGATAGGCTAGTGACCCCAAGGTTAGAGCAAAGACAGTGCTCTATCTGGTTCCTAGAGCAGTAATTTCTTTGAGCAGCAAGTACAGGTACTGAGATTGGAGCCAGGCAGTTTCTGAGTGCCATGAATACAGTCACTTTGATCACAAAAGCTTCAGTAATTATCGATGGATATCTCAGTGGTTGACAAATGGCCACATATCTATCTATAGCCATGCAGACAAAAATACCTGATTCCATGGCCACAAGACAATGAATGGCATACATCTGAGCAAAGCACTCTGAGCGATGGATGGCCTTAGCATTGAACCATAAGATGGCCAAAATCTTTGGCATGATGGTGGTAGCCAGACCCATGTCTACCACAGCCAGGATGCCCAGAAATTGGTACATAGGCTGGTGCAGGGATGCCTCTTGTCTGACAGTAATCACGATGAGGATATTGGCAGTTAGAGCCAAGAGGTAAAGTAGAGCCAAGGGCAGGGAGAGCCAGTGCTGCCAGCTGTGAATGCCTGGGAATCCCATGAGAATGAACTCAGAGACTTGAAATGTAGAGCTGTTGGATTCTTTGAGATCCTGGAACATTCTGGACTAAGAGAAAATAAAAAGATTGGTATTATTCCTCGGCATTATCGTTGCACCATAATGTGGGTCATAAAAAGGCATGGCACATAATCAAGCAAATAACTTTAGAAATAGCTCTTACTTTATCTATTATATACCACAAAAAAGACTATGTTTCCCAATATAAATGTAGGTGTTGACCAATAGTTGCTCTAACCACATCTGTTAACATTTTCTGAATGTTTTGGCCATGGTATGTAAAAAAAAAAAACAAAACGAAAAAAACAAAACAAAACTGAAAACCTTAAGAGTATTGGAAATTTACTGATGCAATATCAAGATATTAAGGAAAGATTCAGCATCTTCATTATTCTCATCCTGTTACCTATACTGTTTTACTTTTTTATTTTTTTGTCTATTTTTCCTTTTATTGGTACCAGGGATTGAACTCACGACTCCCTGCTTGCAAAGCAGGTGCTTATGCCACTGAGCTAAATCCCCAGCCCTGTTTTACTTTTCTAATGGAACAGCAACTCTGACAATTGTCATACTCTATTTATTACTCAATAATTTATCACTAAATTTTTATAATACCAGCTCTGAGTTTGGTTGTCTTAGAGACTTAATATATATATATATTAGTATATGCTTGGAGGCATCCAGATTTCTTATATATGAGGTTTGGCTATACACATATGTATAGAATTCTTTTCATTGATGTGCTTGAGATATCTTGAAGTGCTGGTTGTATTTTTAAATATTAATTAAAATTATAAGGCAATGATTTAGATACATTTTTTACTAAAGGAATCCAAGTATTGAAAAATTAAAAATATTTATGACTCCAATCAGCTTTTTAAAAGGCGTAATATATTTTAAAAATTCTAATGCTTTTTGATTTGTATTTATCTGCATATCCCTATTTGGACATGGTTTTCGTTTTTTGAGCCTTTCATACAATCATGATCTGACTCATGTAATGTGTTTGAACTAATTACAAAATAAAACATAAAGTGCATCACCCTAATGGAATTTTTAATTTTTTAAAAAAGTAAAATAATCTCATAACAAAATAATAGGAGAATAACAATAGTTAATGTATTGCATATTGTCTTCATCACAGTAGTTACTCAGAATACAAGATATGGACATGAAAATTTCTCCAATTGATATTACCACGAATCTTCCTTTCAAAGAACTAAGAAACAAGAATAATATAACTAACTTGCATTTTTCTCCCATTTCCCTTCCTTACTTCCCCTTTCCACCTGGAATTTCATATAGTTTTTTTAAAAATTTTTTTGCAAAAACCTCCTGATTTTCAAACAATTCATATTGTACATGTTTCCTTGATATGATTTATTGTCAATATTTTAGTGTAAAAGTTAATAACAGACATTCACTATCTGTTTATGTTTTAAGTGTATATTGTTTGCTTTTTCTACATTTCTAAAGATTAGATATATTAAACTTAAAAGAAACAAAAATGCTATTTTAAAGTATTGTAGATTAAAATGATAGTATAGAAAGAAGGTGATGTTGATGTCAATATGGTAAGTATATTCTTTACACAAATGTTCTCAATTTTCCTTAAAATAAATCAAACTAAACTAATGATAATTGTCATTTAGATATATTTTATTTAGATATATCATTTCAATAATTTAGATATTTTATTTATTTGTTTTATAAATTTTATTTGCTTATTTTAACTAGCTGAGTTGCAGTTCAGTTTTCTGTGACTATGGATTCTGACTTGGTAATGAGGCTTTAGAAATCTATACCAAGACTGTGGAATAGTGACAATCTGTGGAGAAGATTTCCTTGGAATGTTACTGTTTGAATTCTTTGCTTCAAAGCAGACATTTAGGTGTTTCCTTAACCCCTGTTCATTATGTCAGGAAAGAATCCACCAACCTGCCTTTTCAGGAATGAAGGAACAGCTGCCAGTGTTCTTAGGCTGGAGTTATCTAAATGGTTCCCTGTTTTTCACTGAAGGTTAATGGAGTATACACCACTGAAGACAACTTCTGGTAGTTACAAAGTAAAAGATGTACATGTCAATTGTCTTCTTCAAAGGCCTCTTCTTGGCAAAGACATTTTCCTGTTGCCTGTGGAATACTTGCTAAAATGAATCAGGATTTGACTCGAGATTGAGACAGAAAAATGAAAGCATGATTTCCAAGACACTAGGTTCAAATGAATGTGTAACAAGTTGATTCACATCACTGGAATTTGATTTTATTCTTTTTTGGGTTTGTTTTCTTTTCCCCTCTCCCTCTTCCCTATCCCTCTCCCTTCCTTCTCCCCTTGCCTCTTGTAAACACAGTTACACAGTTAACTCATCCCTGGAAGGATCAGACTTTGTTTTCTTCAATGTCATGTTCCGTTCTTGTTTTTGTCTTATTCTTCCAATTGGGATATGTAAGGTTCAGAGCTCTTGTATTTGAAACTTGGAAGGACCCAGACTTTGAAATAGTGTCTTGATTTCACTTTTGTTGTCATTGTTTGTTTGTTTAAGTAAAGCTGTATGAAGCTCACACATTAAACAATAAAGTTAAAAAATCTCTTGTGTGATAATGACATTTTAGAGGCATATAGAAACAATAACTAAGGGCTGCGGATTTAATTCAGTGTTTTAAGCACATGCATGGTAAGTGTGAAGTCATGAGTTAGATCTGCTTACAAAAAACAGAGAAAGAGAGAGAGAGAGAGAGAGAGAGAGAGAGAGAGAGAGAGAGAAACGTAGAGAAAGAAATGGAGAGAAAGGAAGAAAGAAAGAAAGGAAGGAAGAGAGAGAAACGGCAACTATCAAAATTTTGTGGCCAGTTGGGAACATTATCTTTGAGGAAAGGAAAAATGCTCTTAACACTACAGCATGATTTGAATTCCTTAGATCAAGCGGCTTCGTGTGGTTTTCTTATTTTCTACTCACGTAAGAATGCCATAATCACCTTTAAGATCTTGAAATCTGCTGTACTCTGTTGTGTTCTTGGTTGGTACTAACTTTGCCTTCAATCTTCAGCCTCATCAGAAAAATCAGCGTGTTCATGGAAGAGGGTGGATGACCACCCTTGAAATCACAGGAACATGACATTGGTAGGAAAGTAGCAGATTTGCAGTAGGGATGTGTTTGTTGATAGAAGCCATCTCGTTGGTTATTTTAACATCATAATATAAATATTTGTGATATATGATTAGAAAATGTAGTGAATGCTTAAATTTTAAAAAATGTATTACAAAAAAGATATTTTGCCATTGTTTCTCTCAAAACATTCCTTCTCACTTTAAACCCATTTATCTCATACATATCTATGAGACATCTCATATCTCATCTTTGTCACGTCTGAAGCGTTCTGAAAGTCCTCTTTGTGAGCATTTTTAGTGGTACTGTTGTGGCTGCCTTGATGTTCTGAACTAACTCAAAACGTCTACAGTTGATGGTCATTTTGAGAAGACCCAAGAGTCAATATTGAATCTGGTGAATAAGTTGGATAAGTACAATCCATAATGTTTTTATTTGGCAGCAATGGTTGCAAATTGCAAATTTCGAATTGATTCAGGATATTAAGGCACCATGAAAAGGCACAATTGTAACAAGGACCTCCTAAATACAGTGCTTCAAGGCAAAAATGATGGGATACTGTGTTCAAAATTCGTGAAAATATTACGTTTGGGTTAGTAGCAATGTATTTCTTTTTTGGAATAGTTTTTTTTAAACTTTCACTTAAATGTTCAGTGTTTTGGAAATTGTAGCACATATAACCTTGAATGACCCCAAAGAAACACAACACTTAATATTTGGATATTGAATTCATAGTTACATTTGAAATAACAACTAAGACATTACAGGTAAATATTTAAATGCCAATGAATGTTTAAAATGAATGCCCAGAATGAATCCATAAATGAATGAAATTCATAGTAAATTTTAAGAATTTTAAAATTTATCCACAAATTTTTATCTGACAAAATAAAAATGTGTCCCTTATAAATTAGCAGAAAATGTAAATATCTAAATAAAATCGCATTGGAAAATGTAGGAAAAAAACAAAAAAGGAAAAAATAATGCCACAAGAAAAGCAATTAAAAAGCAGATGTTCCAAGAATCATAACCTAAAAATCTCTCACTTAATGATCCAAACTCATATCAAGTAATATATTAGTCAACACAGATTAAATCTGACTTTTGAAAGACAATTTTAAAGTGTTTTCAATACTGAGTTTATTTTTCTACAAAGAAAATAAACTGTGAGCAAATCCATGATGTAGTAACAATAAACAAATATTCCAACTATAAAATATAACTGAAAGTATATGTTTTTATACCAAATATGAATATAATAATTTGTGTCTTCCCTTGACTGTACACAATTTTGACAAACCATGTTCTTTCTCAGTGGTTCAGTAGGACCATCTAAGTTGATTTTTCTGTGTGGAGAGGATAAAGATGGCCCTATCTTTGAGCAAAAAGAAAGTGAATTAGATTCTCCTTTTGAAGAATATGTGAGGTAAGAAGCAATATTGTTCGGAAAGGACCAGGAATTTCTCTCCAAGTATTTCTGTTTGTCACAGTATGATTAACTTGATTTCCACCATTTCCACTGACCTTTCTTGTCAGGGAAAGTACATATAATCATAATCATCATGACAAGTTCCACTAAATTACAATCCAAGCATTTGGGAAATAAACTTTTTTTTTTTTAGAAAATAACCACATTAATTAATTCAAACTGGGTGGTTGAAATAAAATTTGTTTTTCTTAAAATTTTGACCAATTAGAGTATAGATTCAGGCTCTGGGAAATAAAAAAGCCATTCTCCAATATATCTACAGCTAACCTGGAAATCTTTCATCTACCAGAAAAACCTGACAATGTTTCATCTACCTCTTCAATGCACTTCCATACCTAATTCCAGATGTCAAAACAGTGAACTGAAGGCAATAGGTTCTGGTCCTCAGGTGTTCATCAAAAAACACCAGAATCCTGCAATATATAAACATGCATAGACTCTCTCATCTGAATCTCTGGATATTTGTAGGACTGAACCAAGCCGAGAAAAAAAAATCCCAAGGGAATATTTTCAGACTTTATAGACACAAATGTTGGTAAGAGAATAAGTATAAGGTTTATTGGAGGAAAAGAAAATTTGGGAATTATTTATGTTAATTCCCTGTAGCATCTGATTAGTAAGTGAATTTTCTATGCATATATCTATACACACCCAACTGTGTGTCCATGTAGTGATGGTGGCAATTCCTAATGCACACAGTAATT